TTAGCATCGGTATAATCTTCGATACTCATGAAAATAATTTTTTATCGTCTTTGTGAACTTTTGTTTCAAATTTTCACGTATACAATTTACCTCCGGTCTATCTATCTTCAAAGGTGAAGAATCAAAAGTAGAAAACTAAGCTTGCATTATCTTTTTGCCTTGACAAACATCACAAGTTATGAATCCATGGCCTTCACAATAAGGACACTTCATTCCTTCATCTATCCATTCCATAAACTGTAACACATTCCAATATAAGTTTCTCAACCAAATACTTGAAGAATTATATATTGCTATTAAAAAAGTACAGATATGGTAAAAAGCTTTCAGAGTCCTCTAACCTGTTCCTCAATGTTTGGTTCACCAGTCCCATCACATTCTGCAAAAAACACATTTACCCTCAATGTTTGACAATAATCCTTCATGTTCTTCAATACTTAGTACTAATTAAGATGCAACGACAACAGAAGAGACAGAATATATACCCATGCATAATACGCGACCCTCTCCACGACAAGTAATACACTTCGTGGTGGTACTTCCACTAGTAGTCTCTGCTGGTTTCTTACTTGCAGAAAGTCTGGAAGGTTCTTCCCATCGGTTCTCTCCGAGGAGAAAGACTCGATGATGTGAAACCTCAGTTTCAGATACACCATCTTCTTTGACAATTGTCTGCTGAACTTCCTCTATTTCCATGATAGATGCAATTGGTGCACCATTTGCACTAGTCTGAGGTGGAAAGAACAACATCAGATTATAGTAAACTAAACTAATCGAGATTACTTATGTTTTATCTAGGATGAATCTGAATTACAACTGACATTGGAAACCCACACTAATGATATCATTGTAATGAAAGTGTTCCAAATTTAATACTTGTGGTCAGTGCCTCAGCCATTTCAAAACTTCATGGTACACCCCAAATGTCCTTAAATTAGCAGACACTTTGTTAGCAGGAGAGATTCACTATCAAGTATAATACACGTCCAAATTTTCATAACCAACTTTTGGTATGGGCAATGTCAATGGCATTACAATTAACTACAGTGGGGGAAAAACGAGGTTCAACCGGTCCCAAATAATGGTTAATTCCATGCAGATATTATTTGTCAAAGGCAACTAATGGGTCTGTTTTATTACCTTCCTTGATAGAAAAATGCATAACTTAAGTCATAAAGACATTTTTTATGACCATGCAACTACTGAAATTTCATTTTTCCTATTCCTTGATTTATATCATATTAGGAGTTTGTAATACGTATCTCTTTCCAAAATTCTCTATGAATGACATATCAAGAAACAATGGTGAAACAGTCTCATGGAAGAAAGCACTCATACAAGACCAGATAGGGCCACAGCTTCTATTCTGGAATGATGTCAGATAAACCTCTTCACTCAAAGTTTTTTTGTTAAAAGAAAAACAGCAAAGGTAAACCAAACATCTGCTATGAGTAACAGGTTCAAGTTCGAAATTTGTAGGGAGAGCAAGATATCAGTATTGACAAAAGGGATAACACACCTTAGCTTCAGTTCCATCTGGTTGTTTGGGATTTTCCTTCACTCCGTCAATATTTTGTACCATATATAATTTTTCAAGAAGTTCAGAAGTCATAATGCCATCTTCTCGTAAATCAGATGAAGCCTGCTCAGATGGATAAGAGAGAAATATGAATCATCTGTATTTAACCCACAGCCAAGCAAAATATAATTTGAGACTTTCCTGTTTACAAAATGCAAACAAACCTGCCAAGTTTTCACAGCACGCTCAGTCCCACTAGAGAAGCTAGAGAATTCCATATCTTCCTCACCACAATAAAAGCCCAATTTTAACAATTGTTCCTGAAAAGGGAAAATGGAATTAAGAGATGTATTTAAGTAGAAGTATAAAGACCCAAAAAAGAGAGAAAACTGCAAAAGTAAAAAAGCAAATCCAGAACTAATCAATGCAAATGAACCATTACATAAGTGCTTATGTGATCCAACACAATCCAAGTTTCCGGCAAGTGCATAAGTTCACAACACACAGGGATAAAGGAAGTCTGAATTTACATAGTTTTCTGTTATCAATAATTATTCAGCTAAGAAGAAAAACACGAGTACGAAAACGTGACTCCAAAACAGGAGTAAGGTATTCCGTGCCACATTCATGATACCTCAGTAAAATTAGCTTGATTGACCAAAATACTGGAGCAAGAGAGCTATAACATTACCAATAAGGGAAGTGACCGTCATATAATATTAAACTCTTTGGTGCTGATGTATACTTGGGACAATAACACTTTTGATGCTTCAAGCTATCTACTAACTAAGCTCATTTTATCCTCATAATATCCTGGGTACTCTTGGACTACTTGGTGACAATGGTACAAGGACTACCAGTCTGTTCATGTTGGAAGGAAACTTGTCACGTGAAGATCACGTGACAGACAAGCTCTGCTGACGGAAGAATAAATTGCAAGTATAGAGTAAATGAACAATTGGGTTCAAATTTACAGGTCGACCCATAATAGGTTTTCAGCAGCTGTACCAAGAACAATTTCTTGCAAATCTCTTATCAAAATTCATTACTCTGTTTCCACGTAGTTTTCATTACTTCCAGATTCTCAGCGAGTTCTTTTAAGATCACATTTTATTTTGGTACTGTCTTTAAATTGAAAACTTCATCAAGTTATGTCATGCATCTGGTATACGTCAAAATACAAAATAGAAAGCAAAGAATCAATCAAACAAGTAGGAGAGTTGATTTAACCAAGTTAATGTGATAAAAAGACATGGTGACTCTAAGTTAGCAGACCTGCAGCAGTCGAACTTCATCTCCTTCAGATCCCTTTTTCAAAGTCCGCTTCTTCTTGGCTTTGTTACCCTCTCCTTCTGACTCTTTAGGAGCTTCCCTGATCACCTTCTCTTGTTGTGGTGCTTCCTTGACAACAACCTCATTTTGCTTTGCTGCTTCTAAAACTAATGGCAACGCAATCGATCCAGTTTCTGCAATCACAGTTACATTCTTTCCCCCCTCCCCCTCCTTCAGCAGCTAGAAAACCAAAAAAGAAACATAAACATAAAAATAAGGTTTTCATGTATGCACTAGTTATAGAACTGTTTAAAAACTTCTAGTACCAATTTACCAAAAAAGAAAAAGCTTACCGATGAATAGAATTTTTTATTTTTATTTGTGTTTGTTTTCCTTAAATTCTCAAAGCAAAAGTAACAAATTTACCAGCATCTGTGAATCAAGCAAACAAATCAAAAGCAAATTACCTAAAGATAATCATTTACTAATCTCAGAAACTCATGAACTTGTAAAACTTTAATTTAAAGAAAGGGAAACATTTTCCAAGTTGAATTTCTAAAAGTATATAAGAGAAGAATATCAAAAGCCTCGAAAGCATAAATTTTGATACGAATGAGGTGAATTCAGTAAACATGATCACACGTTCAAAGAGTATACTTAGCAATTTAGGCATTCACATTTTAATCAAACAATGATAGACTAGTGAGCCTACTCCTTTCCGACTCCGAACTACGAAAAACAATCACTTTTCCAGTGTTGTTGTTGCTACTAGAAGCCCTTATTATTGTCAGTTAAAACCAAAAATTCAGCTCAATACTGAATAATCAATTCAACTGAAGCTCAAACTACAATTAGGAAAACCGATTAACAAGAAACTAAACTAAATCAGGCGTAATAATCCAAATCAAATTATACACAAATTTGATGATTTCACTTCATTTCCATTTTTAGGGTATTTAGTTAGTACGCACAAGTCAATCAACAATTTGTTCTTCCCAAATTCAAATAGATCCGTCATCCATATACCGCACCTGCAATAACTTAGCAATATTAGCTACCGTCTCCGTTACAGAAGTAGCTTCTGGAAGAAGCGAATCCCTATTACTCTCAAGCTCCTTAACACGAAGCTGTAACTCCCGAATTTGAACCAACAAAGCTTCTCGCTCCGCTTCCCACCTTCTCTCTTCTCTTAACCACCGTTGCTCCTCCCTCAACCACCGCTGCTCCTCCCTTAACCACCGCGACTCCTCCCGTTCCGGCGAACCACTGTAGCAAACGTGAGATACAGAGAAGGATGCCGAGGAGTTTTTTAGAGAGAAGAATTTAGGTGTGTAAGTGTTGTTGTTATGGAGATTTGAGGTGAAGATATGGAAACTCAGTGGTAGTGAAGACGCCATGGATGTGAAAACTGTTAACAGATTTTTTTTTTGTTCAGTTTTAACGGTTTTTTTATTTATTTATATGAAAAAACTAATTAGAGATATTTTTATCTGGCGGGAAGCTAAACAGTGTATTATGCTGTAATGCCCTGATTTATTTCAAATTATATGTCGTGTTTCTTCATTATGTGTTCAATCCTGGCTCATCAGTGTGGATAATCGCCCTTCAAATAAAAAAAATATTGATTGTGATGTTCGGGTCAGCTTTTGTACACCTCGATTAATTCCACCTCCCACAAATAACGAGTACCAGGTAACTCTCTCCGTCAAAGCTACGACAAATGGAAAGGAAGTTCCCCTCGATTAATTCCACCTCCCACAAATAGACAAATGGAAAGAAAGTTCACCTCAATTAATTCCACCTCCCACAACTAACGGGTACCAGGTAACTCTCTCCGTCAAAGCTACGACAAATGGAAAGAAAATTCTGCAGGGTCCATTCAGGGGTGGCGCTCCTAACAGAATTTTCTCCATACCCAGAACTCGAATCCGAGACCTCTGATTAGGGTGAAACACTCCTACCAGTTCACCACAACCCATGTTGGTATTAAGTACTTAAGTTGCCTTAGTAGAAGCATGTTTGCTTGAAATTCAAGTACATATGATCGAAGATCAAATCATTTTTGCCTGAACTTCAACGACTTAAACATCAAACATCTTATCTAAAAGTCTAAACTTATTCTGAAGCGAGTAAACACACAAGAATTTTAAAAAGACGGGTATAAGTTAAATATCGGTGTTCAAAATATTGCAATGCACCAGAATCCAGATGATCCAAATTCGAAATCTTATTCATCGACAAAAATATTGAAGTAGACGATATTCCATTGTTCAAGTTTTGGAATACAACAAATATAAAGAGCATAATACCAGAATCTAAATGAATACACAAAAGCAAAAACACAATCTGTTTCCTCAACCCCTTTTTCACTTCAACAGTTCCTCCTCATTTGCTTCCATGAATAATTACCCATATATTTGCTACAATACAAACAGCTAGTGTCGTGAAAACCCCCGGAAGGCAAAACCAGCTTTATTACAGCTATAAGTTGATCTTTGGCAATGGCAATATAATTTAAACAACAGGAAATGAGAGAGAATCACAATTGTACAATATCATGGGCAGATTGCACCATTGATGTCCTGACGTTTAATGCATGCAGCATTAGAATTCTAATCAAGCTTCACGTTAGAATAGAGAAGGGTGTCCCTTGTAAGTGGCATGTTGAGGAGAAAGTAGATCTGCATTCATTTAGAGATGCAATGAGTTGCAGAAAAACAATGTACAAGGAAAACGAGAAGACCACATGATAACATGTTATAGATGAGCGCTAAAAATAAAAAAATGTAATCATCACCACCTACAAATAACGTCTGAGATTGAAGATAATCTATGACAAAGGAAACTATACATATGCTTTCTAAGAAAAAGGAAACTCTTGGTGCAATTATTCAGAACCTACAGGACTTGGAAGTCCATCTAAAGCAACAGTAAATGCTTGAGAAACTTATTCACTTTTGCATTTCCACGTGTATGACAACACTTATAGTGGCCGTGCTACAACTTTTATTGTTTACACCCTGTCTGCTTTCTCTTCTGCTAATACTGTTGTTCTATATTTATTCATCAGCTTAGTCAGAGGAGTCACCGTGTAACTACCTAATGGGGTGCAATGAGAATCACTAGTCTAGTTCCAAACTTCCAATTGTCAAAAGCTAAAACTAGAGCACTATTTTCTCAACTAATGGAGAAAAGGCCACTGCCGTCCCCAAGTCAAGCCTGGCTCTACTGCTGAAAACCTCAGTGCCTCATTATAGCTCCTGAGAAACTTCAGTACCTTATTATAGCTCCCGAGAGGTCCAAAGGTTGGAGGAGAAGAACTCAACAATCACTTCAACCCTATTCGGGGTGGATTTGACTAAAAAGAATTTTAAGCCCATCTAAATGAAGTGCACTTTTTTCTTTGATGAAGTAGATATCATAGAAAACAACCTAGAAATATCTATATTTCTGTTCTAAAGCTATCAGCCTGGTCCATCTGTAAGTGTCATGTATTCTTAGATTGCTATACTTAAAGTTAATCCCATGCATGGTCAGCTATAACAAATGTGCAACAGTTCTTTCAATTCTGAAAATTGAAGCATTGAAATGTATTTGGTCAGCAAAACTTACTCCTAATAGAGTGGCAATTATAAGCAAGAGTCCTGTAATCCATGCAACAGTTCGTCTAACCAATATAATTTCTTCAATAACTGTTGAATTGGGTGAAGTTTGTGTTTCCTCCAGCCAGCGGGCAGATGGTTGAGAAGTGAAAACGACGTCAAATAATGGCTCTGCTACTGAAGGTGTTTCATTGCAGACAATGACTCCAACAATTTGACCTGCATGAGTAATACCGAGTTGAATTTAACATAAATAAGAAAGGAAGAAACAAAGGAACACATTCTTCTCTTAATTACTGCACATATTTTTTTTCCATTTAAGAAGTTCAAGTGCTTTCATGAAATGCAACCCCAGTTTCAAGAATACACTAGATGGGTAAATTCAACTCTTGTTACATAACCAAATGCAGATTCAGAGATCACTGAAGCTGCTAAAAGTTGTATCAAAATTGTCACAATCAGAGAACAAAATCCAACCTTTATAGGCTTCAGTTAAGGAATCAAACATCTTCGACATCACAATACTGAACAATTTAGCTCCTTCCACAACACTTTCTGCTCCATACTGCTCTTTGAGAGCCTACAAAAATCAAAGGACTAATTGAGCTGGTATGGCCTGTATAACATGTTTCATGTTCGCCTCTTGTATGTATCTTAAGTGAGGTCAAACATTTCCAATTACCACCAATGTAGGAAAAGAATTTTCCTTTTCCAGACAAATGACAGACATAAAAGACATTAATGATCATCTGGAACTGCATGGAACATATCCAACTTACTGAAAACATGACCCTAGAAAGGAAGGTTTGGAGGTCAAGGATTAGGGTAGAAGGTTAGTAGGTAGCCGAGTGTTGTAGCACTTTTGTATGGGAGAATCAGGGGACTAGTCTCTCCTTATTATTAGTATTACGATCTAGTACTTGCATAGTAACATTTACTTTGTTTTTATTTATTTGTTACTTGTTTCATTGTTTGTGTTCATCTTGCCATTTTGTTGCCATTAATTTTTCTTAGCCTGTTTTGGTCATGGGTTCTTCAATTCTCACTATTACTTGTTACTTCATTTGCTCTATTTATCTTGCTATTTTGTTGTCGTTATTTTCCTTTCTATCATCTTTTATCTACACTTCTTTTGAGCCGGGGGTCTACGCAAAACAACCTCTCTACCCCACAAAGGTAGGAGTAAGGTCTGTGCACATCCTACCTTTTCCATATCCTACTTGTGGAATCTTTTTTTGCGATAAGGGTATAACTTTATAATCAGAAAACTCATTTGGGGTAAAGGAAAAACTATATCATGTATGCACTTAAGAATCTAGGTCTGCAAAATAGGTGCTTACTGTCAAAATGGCTATGGAGGTTTGGTAACGAGGGGCAGGCTCTGTGGAAGGATGCTATTGTTAGCAAGTATGGACAAACTGATTCATGGACATCCAACACTGTGACCAGCACCTATGGGGTCTCAGTTTGGAGGTCTATCAGAAATTTGTGGCCAAAACTAGCGAGGAACATATGCTACAAGGTGGTTGAGGGGACTAGGATCCTTTTTTGGAAAGACAAGTGGATAGGACAGAACTCCCTCATGGAGGACTTTGCAGATTTGTACTCTTTTTGCGACAACCCTGGAGCATCTATTGCTGAGATGTGGTCTCAGCAAGGGTGGAATATAACCCTTAGGAGGCTCTTAAAGGACTGGGAGGTGGATAGAGTAGCCAATTTGCTGCAAAGGTTGGAAGATTTTCCGGGACTCAACACTAATCCTGATGCAATCAGATGGAAACATGATAGGGATGGGGAATTTTCTGTTGGAAGAATGTACAAAAGAGACCTGGCAACACACCCGGGGGGCATTTTTGGACCTTGGAAACAAATTTGGAAATCCAACACCCCAACCAAGATAAAGTGTTTCACATGGTCAGTGTGCAGAAGAGCATGTCTGACTCAGGAGAGACTGAAAAAAAGAGGATTTCAGATTGTTTTTTTTTTTTTTTTTTTTTGAGAATGGTAAAGTTGTATTCATCAGCAATGAGGGTATGCTGGCAACCAAACAAAAAAATTCCAAGGCGAAGTAGTCATGATTACAAATAGCCTAGGAAATCTACTAACTGATTTACATCATCTATACCCTCTTCTTTACACCAAAAATATAGAGTATTAATGCAGTTTTCTTTAACTTTCTGCATTGGGTTAGTAATATTCTTAAAGCACCTATTGTTTCTTTCCTTCCAAATTGACCACCATATGCAAGATGGAACTAGATTCCACCATTTTTTCTGTGTTTTACTTCCCCCTCTTCTCATCCAACAGTTTAATAGGTCAGCAGTATGCTCAGGCACCACCCAAGGATCTTGAATAATGCTTTGAAACAGATACCATATCTGGGCAGTCACTCTACAGTGAAGGAACAAATGATTGTTTGTTTCCTCCTTCTCATGGCAAAAGAAGCACCTAGAAACAATCTGAAATCCTCTTTTTTTTAGTCTCTCCTGAGTCAGACATGCTCTTCTGCACACTAACCATGTGAAACACTTTATCTTGGTTGGGGTGTTGGATTTCCAGATTTGTTTCCAAGGTCCAGCAATCTCCCCCGGCTGTGTTGCCAGGTCTCTTTTGTACATTCTTCCAACAGAGAATTCCCCATCCCTATCATGTTTCCATCTGATTGCATCAGGATTAGTGTTGAGTCCCGGAAAATCTTCCAACCTCTGCAGTAAATTGGCTACTCTATCCACCTCCCAGTCATTTAAGAGCCTCCTAAGGGTTATATTCCACCCTTGTTGAGACCACATCTCAGCAATAGATGCTCCAGGGTTGTCACAAAAAGAGTACAAATCTGCAAAGTCCTCCATGAGGGAGTTCTGTCCTATCCACTTGTCTTTCCAAAAAAGGATCCTAGTCCCCTCACCCACCTTGTAGCATATGTTCCTCGTTAGTTTTGGCCACAAATTTCTGATAGACCTCCAAACTGAGACCCCATAGGTGCTGGTCACAGTGTTGGATGTCCATGAATCAGTTTGTCCATACTTGCTAACAATAACATCCTTCCACAGAGCTTGCCCCTCTTTACCAAACCTCCATAGCCATTTTGACAGTAAACACCTATTTTGCAGACCTAGATTCTTAATGCCAAGACCTCCTGATTTCTTGCTTAGTTGGGCAGTTTGCCATTTGACCAAGTGAATGCCCTTTCCTTCCTTGTTGCCCAGCCAAAGAAAATCTCTCCTTAGTTTATCCAATCTGTCTTCCACCTTAGCAGGTAGGGGGAAGAGAGACATAACGTAAGTAGGGAGAGCATCTAAGACAGAATTGATCATTGTTATTCTTCCTCCCAGAGATAGGTATTGTGTCTTCCAGGTGGCTAATTTTTTCTCAGTCTTCTCCACAATTCCATCCCATATTTCTAATTCTTTGTGGTTGTTACCCAATGGCATCCCTAGATATGTAGTTGGGAGATTTTCCATCTTACAACTCAAAATATTTGCTAAACACTGGATGTTAGCTACGTCCTTGACTTGAAACATGCTGCTTTTTCTCCAGTTCACAGAAAGCCCTGACACTGCCTCAAAGATTACTAATATTATTCTGATGAAACACACCTGCTCAGCCTTGGCCTCACAGAAGATCACAGTATCATCTGCATACAGTAATTGGCAAATTTGTAGATCTTCCCCAGCTTGGTTACCCACTTTGAACCCTTTTAACCATTTCTTCTGAGTGGCCACCCTTATCATACTATTGAGTCCTTCCATAGCTAGAATAAAGAGGAAAGGAGAGAGAGGATCACCCTGCCTCAACCCCCTTTCTGAGGGAAAAAAACCAGCAGGTTCTCCATTAATCAATATAGAGAACCTGACAGTTTTAATGCAAAATCCTATCCACTTCAGCCATTTCTCTCCAAACCCCATTTGTCTCAGGATGTTAATAAGGAAATCCCAGTTCATATGATCATAGGCTTTCTCAATATCAAGCTTACACATGATTCCTGGGATTTCACCTTTAATCCTTGAATCTACACATTCACTAGCTATTAGAGCTGCATCTAGGATCTGTCTGCCCTGTATGAAGGCCATTTGATGTTTGTTGACTAGCTTGCTGATTACTTTTTTCACTCTTTCTGCCAGAAGCTTGGCAAAAATTTTATAGACTCCACCAATAAGACTTATTGGTCTAAAGTCTCTAAGTTCAGTTGCCCCTGGCTTCTTTGGAATAAGGGCCACATAGGTGGCATTGAGGCTCCTCTCAAACTCTTGTCTTTCGTGAAAGTGGTTTACTGCATTCATAAAATCAAACTTAAGCACCTCCCAAAAACTCTGAAAAAAACACATGGGGAAGCCATCAGGGCCAGGTGCCTTGTCACTGGCACATGACTTGATGCACTTCAAAACTTCAGCCTCCTCAAAGTGAGTTTGCAACCAATCTCTTTCTTCCTCAGTAATAGTTTCCAAGCCTTGCAACTTAAATTCCGGTCTCCACTGTTCAGTCTCTGTGTACAACTTTTGATAAAAGTTGATGATTTCTCCTTTAATATCTTCTGGATCTGAGATAGAGTTTCCTTCCACGACCAAAGTGTCAATAGAATTAAATCTTTTGTGAGCTGTTGCAACCCTATGGAAAAATTTTGTGTTTTTATCACCTTTTTTAAGCCATTGTATTCGAGATCTTTGTCTCCACGCTATTTCTTCTTGTTTGGCAACCTCCTCAAATTCCATGGCTAGATGAACCTTTTGGAGTAGTTCATCCTCTAAGAGTAATCTCAGCTCCTGCGTCTTTTCCATCTCTGCTAACTGTTGGAGGATTTCCTCCTTTTTACGTTTCCAATCATTTCTATGTGTCATTCTCCATTCTTTCAATTTTTGCTTCAACATCTTTAGTTTAACAGCTAAGATGTAAGAACCTGTGCCATTTATATTGAAAGACAACCACCATTCCTTAATCTTATCAGCAAAACCGTCCACCCTCAGCCACCATTGCTCAAATTTGAAATAGGACTTATTCAAATTCAGTTCCCCACAATCAAGCATGATGGGGTTATGATCAGAACCTATTCTGGGCAGCAAGTTCTGTTTGATCCGAGTGAAAGATTCATCCCATTGAGATGAATATAAAAACCTATCAATTCTGGAAGCTGAGCTATGGCCATCTCCTCTTCTCCAAGTGAAGGATCCCCCCAAAAGCGGGGGGTCCACGAATTCCATCGCATTTATCCATTCCGTGAACTCCTGCATGTCCCCTGTTATTCTGTGTCCTTCTGATCTTTCATTTGGGTACCTTGTGACATTAAAGTCACCACAAGATATCCACGGGCCACTGCATACCTCCTTGATGATGCTCAACTCTTGCCACAACTCTCTTCTAGACACAGTATCACAGGAAGCATACACTGCACTAAGGAACCAAGTAAGAACTTGGTTGATGCCATCAAATTTTATTGTTAGACTCTGGTTGGTAGTTGACACGACTTCCCCTCTCCAATATCTCTTGTCCCACATTACAACTATCCCCCCACTTCTACCCGTTGCATTCAGATGACACTCCCCCATCCACCTGTTCTGCCACAACTGCCTAAAAACATGAGTTTCCTTTTCTTCTAGGTGCTTCTTTTGCCATGAGAAGGAGGAAACAAACAATCATTTGTTCCTTCACTGTAGAGTGACTTCCCAGATATGGTATATGTTTCAAAGCATTATTCAAGATCCTTGGGTGGTGCTTGAGCATACTGCTGACCTACTAAACTGTTGGATGAGAAGAGGGGGAGTAAAACACAGAAAAAATGGTGGAATCTAGTTCCATCTTGCATATGGTGGTCAATTTGGAAGGAAAGAAACAATAGGTGCTTTAAGAATATTACTAACCCAATGCAGAAAGTTAAAGAAAACTGCATTAATACTCTATATTTTTGGTGTAAAGAAGAGGGTATATATGAAGTAGATCAGTTAGTAGATTTCCTAGGCTCTTTGTAATCATGACTACTTGGCCTTTGAATTTTTATTTTTTTGTTTGGTTGCCAGCATACCCTCATTGCTGATGAATACAACTTACCATTCTCAAAAAAAAAAGAGCTCAATTTGGGGTAAAGGAGAAACTATTTCTCGAAGTAAATTCAGGATTCAAATGTAACCTTAAGGCCATCAAATTTTCCAGAAATTAGCTCAGATGGATGGTGCACAGCTCCAGATAAATCTTGGTGCGTCTCCATTGCTCTTTGAATCTTATGGGTGAGTGAAACAAGACTTGTTACAAACCCCCTATCTGCTTCCTGTGCCGCAAGTAAAAAAAGATAAATCAATAAAGGCCTAATAGGAAAGAACACCACAAAAAGAAGTCATAGTATAGGTTGTTAAGCCTAAAAAAGTACCTTTGACAATTGAAATTTCAAATTAGCGTCATCCTCCAAGGGGACTGTCAGCTCTCCATTCACATATGAACCGCTCAACCATGATGCCTGCTTACAAATATCAATCCTCTCATGAGTTGTATGACCTTGAAGTTATTCAATGTGAAAAGATAATCATGCAATGCAACTGATAACAGACGCTCACAAATTCACTTAGTTCTTTGTCTGAATATTCAGCATCAGTTTTTGGTTCATCCAATGAAAAAAGAGAAACTTTATCTGCATCTGCATACATGACAAATTAATTAGACATAAACCAATCTAATTCTCCTTTTTTACAAGTAATTAACATATCAATCTAGTAAAACACCTTACAACATGTATAAGAGTAAAAGACAACTACCTGGAAGTTGAATGTCAGCTCTATTTTCACTTACTACATTGCTTCTAAGGGCCTCAAAAGAAACACCTATTACAACAAATGGGCATCAATAAGCACAATCTTATATAATCACCAGATAGAAGCTTAATAGACAAAAAAGGCACACTAGAATGTCCAATAAGTATGTTATTTATCTTAAATACACAAACACGCGCGCGCTCACACAGGAGTGAGAGAGAGAAAGAGAAACTCGGTATGTTAATCTACTGTACTATATATTTATTCCAGCTTGCATACCTTCGGCTCCTGTAACTTCTAGGATGAGGACAGAACCCGGCCTATCAAACGGATTTGGTACAAGTACCTCATTCAACTGCAACCAATGGATATTTGATAATGTATATTTCGCTTTAAAGTCAAAACATTAGCTAATAAATGATTCATCTTTCCTACCTTCGATGAACTAGCAGAGGAAAGAGTAGCAGGAGGTGCAAAACCAAGCAAGACTGATACAGTAGCACCAACTTCGGAAAGAGACAAGGAACTTATCTGTGTCCAAAAGACAATTATGCAGTTAGTCAATTAAAAATAATTAGACTATGGTGGTATGGAAAAAATGGATGTCGAACAAACAAAATATCTAGAGGAACTTGAAATGTCATATTGTCGAGTTGTCTGGCGACTCAGATTATTAGAAACTACGGAGGCAATGTCTTACTGTGTAGATAATAATACCTATTCCAAGAGTCTGAACATAATAATTGCAATGAAATATTAAAATATTAGTTAGAGAGGCTGGTTTATTTTTTATGACTGTGGAGTCCAGGCTAGCTTTAGCGCACCTCGACTAATTCCATGTGATACCTGCCACCTCCCACCAACACTAACATGTACCAGGTAACTCTGTCCACCAAGGCTAGGACTTATGGGAAGAATCACCTAGTGTTTTTTTGTCTCCAATGGGAATTGAACCTGAGAGTTGAGACCTCATGGTTCTCAACTACTTCATTGACCACTAGAGGCCACACCCTTGGGTGTGTTAGAGAGCCTGTTTTTTTGGGTGTATTTGATGTTCATGTGTCAAAGTGAACCTCAGAACAATGTAGAAGCGGTATACATTTCTATTGGTGACCACGGTTTGAATCTTGGAGGCAGCCTCTCCAATGAGGTAAGGCTGTCTATAATCGCCTTCCCCATTGCCCTCCTAGGCAGGAGCCTTCTGGTATTGGAGTCCGTGTACTTGATCTCAATTTGTCTTCTAATACATCATTACACAGAAACTTTATAATGTGATTACGCTATCTTAAAAGCCTTGATGGTATTGGAGTCCGTGTACTTGATCTCAATTTGTCTTCTAATACATCATTACACAGAAACTTTATAATGTGATTACGCTATCTTAAAAGCCTTGAGTGTCTTCATGTATATTTATAGCTGGATACTCCTAAAATTATACTCAAGAGTCAAAATTACTAGCTTATGCAAGTATACCCAAACACAAACAATGGACAATGCTAGAATAGTGGATCTTTAAGGTTAGTCCACTCAAGTGCTCTATTAGCTCTCAATATTAATTCATTTAATTTGAGCTAACACATGTTACCCACCAGGTGAATATTATGAATATATGGTTGTGCATGCAGAAAACAATCTGTTGAAGGAGGGTAACCTTCATGATCCTTCTTAGGGAACACGTTAATCATTGCTGAAGACATAAAATCTTGAGCAGAATCATCCATTTTATCTCAACCATTTACTGACAAATCTTCACTGGATGTTAATGCTGTTTTAGGATCAGCCAGCCACGGCCCATGTAATTTCAGGTAAGCAAGTTAGAATAAGCCAGAGGAAACAACTAAATCAATCACTGATCCAGTACTTTTAGGTAAGTTGACTTGCGAGTAGCAATCAACCAACCAATCAACTACGCCTCAATTCCAAAATAGTTGGAACCGACTATTTGAACCATCTAAATCGTTTTGCTCTATTCAAGCTAATACTAAATAATTTGTCTTAAAATCAAACACACAAGACACACACACTTATATTCAACTATACCTCAATCCCAAACTAGTTGACTGGCAATATCTTTCAACATTTAGTTCCAAATCAGAAATTGAAGTTGCTAAGCTTTCTATCACATATCTACTATCAAATCACTTCAATTCCAAGATAGTTGGTACCAATCATGTAAACCATTCTGCTCTATTTGAGCTAATACTAAATAATTTGTCTTAAAATCAAACACACACACACAGGTATATTCAACTACACCTCAATCTCAAACTAGTTGACTTGCAATATCGCTCAACATTTAGCTCCAAATCAGTAACCGAACTTGCTAAGCTTTCATTTCACATATCTACAATCAAAATCACCTCTTTCATCCTAATACAACAACCCCACGTTCCCAAATGGTCATTACACTGTTCTTAAGCTCCCCAATCTTAAACTAGTTGACTCACGATATCATTTGACATTTCGCTCCAAATCAGTAACCGAAATTTCTAAGCTTTCTACTCACATATGTACTATCAAAATCACATCTTTAATTCAAATTACAACAACCCCACGTTCCCAAATGGTCATTATATTGTTCTTAAGCTCCCCAATCTCAAACTAGTTGACTTGCAATATCTTTGGCATTTAGCTCCAAACCAGTAATGGCAGTTGCTAAGCTTTCAATTCACATATCTACTATCAAGTTCACATCTTTAATCCTAATTACAACAACCCCACGTTCCCAAATCCCAAATGGTCATTATATTGTTCTAAAGCTCCCCAATATCGATATTCAACAACTAATCAATCACAACAGAACAAAAAATCTTACAATTGAAGAAACACCCAGATGGTTAAAAAGTCGAAATACCTTAGAAGAAGCATCGGAAGAAGGAGAACGGAAGTAACGGTGAGATGGGTTATCTAGAAAATATACTGAAGAGGTTCCATCAGCAACCTGGATCAAATTTCAAGATTCAAACATCAAATTCACAAATTTACAATACAATCGATCCAGTAACCAAAAAAAATATTAAAAAATACCTTAGAATGCAGGAAGAGTGATAGAAGTAATAGAAAGGTGAATTTGTAAGAAGATTTTGGATCCATTGTAGAAAGAGAGAGGGAGAAAGATGGGAGTTTGAATCTGATCTATGTGGTTTTGGGAAGAAGAAATTGAGATTGAAGAAGGAGATTCATAAACTTTAAAAACGACAACGTTTGAAAAGGTGTAAAATTGTACTAAAGGCCCTTAACCTTTTTCTAATGGACCACTTTTCCCCCTCAGGTTTTGCACTACTGTACTTTTAGTTCAAGACTCAAATCAACATGGAAACCCAATTATTTTAATTTGATTGTCTTTTCATTTTTTTTAAAAAAAAATCATTCCGGCAACGATAATATGCTTCTTAATGTTTACATCAAATAAATGAATGCAAGGCATATGTATATCACTTAATCATGAATAAATGATATATATAAATATTTGATTTGATATAAATACTAGAAGGGTAGAAGACTAGTAGGAGCAGAGTGTTGTTTTGTCGTACGTAGGTCTAGTGTATGTTGTAGAACTAGTCGTACTCTGTAGTTTTTTTCATATGTTGTATATTGAATGTCGATCATTTATGCTTTCTTTCATTACTTTTTTTTCTGTTACTCCAGCTAGATGTGCTTGAATCGAGAGTCTTTTGAAAACAACATCTCTATTTCTACGAGATAATGATAAAGTCGGCATACACTTTACCCTCTCAGATCCTGAATTTCACTGAGTATATAATTATTACAGACGTGAGAAACTATTAACTGAAAAAAGAATTAGTATTAAACTATTAATTACTTTATTATGTTATCTCCATTTTTATGCAGCTTTAGAGGTACATTGGCGTAGTGTCCTTTACCTTTAGATTTGGTGAGATTAAAATGAACTTTATCATAGTAAGTTTTTTATACATTTGGTCGTTCAACCAACAATTATTACCATTTTTAGTCAATATTAAAAATATATACATTGATTATATAAAATATGTATATTTTTTTGTATATCACAAATAATATATATAAGAAATATATATATTCGACTAGTTCATGTAGGCCCAAAACCCAAATATAAGATAGGGCCCTAACGTGAGTAGCCCATTATAGAAGCCCATGATTGTGCTTTCTTGAATTTTGAGTGTTTTGATAAACTAATGGAAACATCTAAGGATAATAAGATCTCACATATAGCAAACACAAAAATCATATTTGTATGCTATAACTATATTTTACATAATTGCATTCCATAGCAAACATAAATATATACATTTCTCTATACATATACAAAAGAAAGCAGTTGTATAATTTCGCTATACATATACAAAAGAAAACAGTTGTATAATCTGCTTTGATATACATATACAAAAGATCAATTGTATAATTTGTGTTTGTATAAAGCGAAAAAGAGAGAAAGACAAAAGAAATCTGGGCAGGGGAAGATCGTATTTGTATAATCATAAGTGTATAGGATGAAAATATATGCATTTGTATTTGTCTATACAATTTTCTCTCGATTTATACAAACACAAACACAATGTATATATTTGTGTTTGTATAAAGTGAGAGAGGCGAGTGAGCGAGCGAGATCTAGGAGAGTGGCGAGCGAGATCTGGGAGAGGGGAGAGAGGGGAACGAAAATATATGTATATACAATTTTCTCTCGCTTTATACAAACACAAACGCATTTTATACATTTGTGTTTTTGTATAAAGTGAGAGAGACGAGTGAGTGAGCGAGATCTGGGAGAGGGGAACGAAAATATATGTATATATACAATTTTCTCTCGCTTTATACAAACACAAACACATTTTATACATTTGCATTTGTATAAAAAGCGAGAGAGACGAAGGAGAGAACGAGAGTGGCGAGCGAGATTCACCAGGAGAGAGGTGAAATAGCAACAGTTTGCTATGGAGTACAATTAAATCAAACTATATTTATAGCATTTAATTTGAATTAATAGTTTGCTATTATATACAATTTTCCCTAATAAGATTTACTTGAGCTTAATTAAACCAATGAATATATATTTATCGAGTGCGAATAAATATTTGTCAACATAAATAAAAGTGTTGGTTTTTATATACCTTCGTATCTATTTTTCTTTTCGAGTAAAAAATAATTTTGTATCACATGAATATTTGCTCTTATATATGTGTGAAGAATATAATTAAAAAGATAAAAGAAAATGGTTCTTTTTACTTAAACCATTTGGTATCATGATAATATTGATTCGATTAATCCAAATTCGTGTGTGTGGGTTTTAGAAAAGGGGAAAACACTTTTAATTAGCAAGTTTTTTTTTTTTCATAACTTAAACTCAATATCTATAACTAGCTAAAAGCGGAAGAATCACATTAATCCCACCATCAAATGGTGGGTTCTCCTTGTAATTTTATGATCACTTGAAACAAAGAAAAGAGTACATTGGAGACTCAACATCAATCAATGATACTTATTGAGTATATTTGGGTAGTCTGGTGCATTAAAACTTTCGCTATGCACAGAGTTAAAGATTCAACCACACCTATATATTGTACGCAACTTTATTTTGCATTTTTGTCAAAGATTGTTTTCAAGACTTGAACCCATAATGAACTTTAAATTTCGAATACACTTATCTTTTGCTCCCACTTTGTATAGATTATATTTATTTATCAATTATTGCATTATATTATACATCTAGAATAAAGTTGATGCATCTTTTTCAGACATGCGTACATGAATTTCACAAACAAAAAGACAAAAGGATGTTTTGCATGGCCAGTAAAAAAGTTTGACTAATATAGTTTGATTTTCTATCTAATTCTTATTATATTATTATGACTTGGTCATATAATTACTACTTGGTTAATATATTCTTAAATTTTGATGTAAACAAAAAAAATAGTTATTTCATCATCGAATTAGAGAGAAATTATTATGATGTGACTACAATTTAATCCTTTCACCTTAGAAAACAATCTATGAACAAGCTTGGTTGTGTTTCGATCGAATAAATTAAATACACTTGTGGTTCAATATTAATCAATTATCACACTTATAATTAGGCTCACGTTTATAACTTTTTATCAAACTAAAACATTTAAAATGCAAATAATATTAAATGTTTAGGTTTTTAGGTTTAGGTTTGACAAAGCACAAAATTGAACATATAATCCTATTACTCCCTCCATTTCAAATTAATTGAATTATTGAGGTGTTTTACACCCTTTAAGAAAAGAAGATTAAGACATACACTATGCATAACTTTTCATTTTTACCCTTATTAATTATTGTCAAATTTATGATTAAAGTAATTTCAATACTGACTAATGAAGGATAAAATTGGAAGAACATTCTAAAAGTAGTCTTGAAAATTGAACAATTAAGTTAATTTATTCTAAAAGTAGTCTTGAAAATTGAACAATTAAGTTAATTTGAAAAATGAAAAATGTTTCAACAATTCAATTAATTTGAAATGGAGACCAATTCAACAATGATATAAAAATAAAGATGTGATTTTGTGAAGAAATATATAGAGTCAAAAAGACAAAACTAAAAAAGTAGTTTAGATATGAATCTTTTCTTGTGGAAATTAAATTCCATGTTTTGACATAGCATAATTAATGTTAGTTTGTATTATATACTAAACTTAGTTGAGTATATAAGAAGGCTTCTAATTAAGTCTTTGTCAAACTACTGTATATATTGAAGACTTGAGTGCCTCTATTAGCAGACAAGAAGGCGCAATATGTGCTTTCTATGTTTGTTTCTAGACTTGATGAGGTTCTAAAAAGTTGTTGGTTGAGATCGTGAAATTATCGCTCGAAAAAGTAAGAAATAAATTCTTGTCTGGTCAGAAGACGTGTGAATCAAATCTACATTTGAATTGAATTTTGTCGAATTCATAAATAGAATTATAGTTACATCCATGATGATCATATTAGATCAAATTCAAGAAGAACTAATTAAAATTTATGTCCTTTAATTTTGGTTATATATAGATAAGTAGATATTTAAACTCGTATAAATTTGAAGAAGTAGACACACGCGTCTAAAATATGTATGTGTGTGTCTTACATAGTATAACTCAAACTAATTCGAGTGTATCTCACACGAAATGACATGTAGGACGTGTGTGTCTACTTGTTCAACTTTATACAAACTTATAAATGTCTACTTAGACATACTAAAATTGAAGAACATAAATATTAGCTAAATCCAAGTGAAAGACATGTTTATTATTGCCCAGAGGAAAACTAGAAATTGCTAAATCAATATTCAAAGTTCAAAATAATATCAAACAGTAAGGAATTTTAGTGGTTTAACAATTAATTAAGAGTTCGATTATCCACCTCGTAATCCTCAACCTTCTCCCTTATATAATAAAAAAATTAATTGAAAAAAATATATATCAAAAGTCTCTAATAACACTTGACACTTTGGAACGCGGCATGTCACGTGTACGTATGGTATCATGCCACATGTCCATGGGAGCTAACATAATATATATTTGTATTTTATCATAATTATTTTCAAATCATGTCCTATTTTCGAATAGTTCAGGAGTATATTTAATTCATTTCCCGACTAAAAATAAATTATAATAAAGTTTTTAAAAAATCACAAAATATTAAATTACAATAATAACCTTAACGTACAAGTTTGCATGTGTTTATACTGTTAAAAAATAATAATTCAGTGGGGGACCTAATGCATACAATCAAGGCAACAATTACAGAAAGCAATGGAGACTTTGCTTTTGTTTTTTTGTTAGCAACTTTTAATTTTATAATCCCAAAAAATGTAATTATTATTTTAATATTAAAAGGTGATAAGACATTTAAATCATCTGTAATTTTCAATAGATTTGCATGAGTCAAAATTGAGAAATTTCTTATGCAAAAGTCCAAGCTACAAAAAGCCCCACACCATTTTTTTTTCTATTGATCTAACATCACCCTCTTTTTATTGACATTTACTTTAATTTCCAAAACTTATCATATTAGATAAGTTGATTTTTTTGTCCCCTTATAAATATGGTTCGGAATCAAGATATCTCGGGATTATAATTATCTTATGATTTACATGAAAAAATAAATCAGCTACAAAAAAGTATTGAGGAGAGGCTATTAGACACCATATGGCGTG